TGCTCTTTAACCACTGAGCCATCTCTCCAGCTCCATAGATAAAATATTTTTTAAAAAGTCAAAAGCACAGCAGGATTGGTAGCACACATCTTTAATTCCAGCACTCAGGAGGCAGAGGCTGGTGGATTTCTGTAAGTTTGAGAACAGCCTGATTTACATAGTGAGTTCCAAGCCAGCCAGGGCTACATAGTGAGACCCTATCTCAAAACAAACGAGTAAAGAAACAAACAAACATATATAGAGAGAGAATTTAGGGTTTAGAGATGGGAAAGATACAAAACTCTTTGTACCTCTAAATACCAAAAGTGTTCTCTGTCTTATCTACTGTAACAACATCAATGATATTTATTAGGATAATAAACAAGTTTTGAGCTGATAGTTCTTGGAGTACCTCATCTACACAGTGAGTCTCTCTGTGGTTACAGAGAGACGGTCTTAAAAAGACCTCCAGGAGCCGGGCGCGGTGGCGCACGCCTGTAGTCCCAGCACTTGGGAGGCAGAGGCAGGCGGATCTCTGTGAGTTCAAGGCCAGCCTGGTCTACATAGTGAGTTCCAGGACAGCTGGGGCTACAGGGAGACCCTGCTTCAAAAAAAAAAAAAAAAAAAAAAAAAAAGAAAAAAAAAGACCTCCAGGAGCTGGAGACATGGCTCAGCGGTTAAGAACACTGGTTCTTGCAGACAACTGTCTATAACTCCAGTCCCAGGAGATCCAACAGCCTCTTCTGATCTCCACGGACATTGCATGACACACATACACTTACATACATGCAGGCAATACAAGCATACACATAAAAATAATAAATAAATTTTTTTTAAAAAAAGACCTCCAAATGGGGCTTGGAGAGATGGCTCAGCGGTTAAGAACATTGGTTGTTCTTGCAGAAGACCTGGATTTGAATCCCAGCATCCACATGGCAGCTAACAACTGCCTGTAACTCCAGTCTCAGGGGGATCCAACAGCCTCGTCTGTCCTCTGTGGGCATTGCCCGACACGGGTACACCTACCTAGGCAATACACGCATACACATAAAAATGAAAATAAATAAAAACTAAAAAAAAAGGCCTCTAAAAAAGAAAACCAAAACCCCTTCTTTAAAAAGCCCTCAACTCACAGAGTTCTTGAGTTGGCTAAGTTGGTCATTCAAAAAGTACATTTGTTCATGGCTTTTCCTACAACAATGCTACAGAGATGGCAAAAGATCCCCTTCCATTTTAATAGAGAATTTTTTTGTTGTTGTTGTCTTTTTGAGACAGGGTCTCCCTGTAGCTTGAACTCACAGAGATCCTCCTGCCTCTGCCTCCCGAGTGCTGGGATTAAAGGCGTATGCCACGATGCCCAGCTAATAGAGAATATTTTTTAAGTTTCCTTGACTTGTGCAACTAAGACAGCAAATTTCAAGATAAACAAAAAGCATCTTCCTGTACCAAAATAATCACAAAGACTTAAGAAAAAATATTAACTATTTCCCCTGACAATAGATAACTTTAAAAGATTATTTCTACATTATCACAAACACAGCTCTTGTGTGTCAGAATGTATAGGATTAAAAGAAATCTTCAAAGCTAGCCTTCTTGGTGCATGCCTGCAATTGCCTGTAATTCCAGCACTAGGGACATAAAGAGAGGATTCCCAAGATTCTAGGCCAGTCTGGACTTCATAGCAAGACCATCACACAAACAAAAAACCAGCCTCCTTCTTCAGCCCTCAGTCACTCTTCCTGTGATTAGAGTGGTTGAGTTGGAATTGCTCAGAAACAGTACTGTAGACCAGACTCCCTCAAAGAGGGAGTAGTCTGTACACTAATGCCAGTCTATAAATTCATTACTGATTTATAACCAATTAATATGCAAGTTGTGAATAAACACTTAGAAGCGACAGTAATTAGATATTACGGTAGCAAATTTATAGTTTTGTTTTACTTTGTGATTTAAAAAAATTCCTTGTCAGACGTGGTGGTGCAAACCTTTAGTCCCAGCACTGAGGAGGCAGAGGCAGCCTGGTCTACATATTAAGTTCCAGGCCAGCTGGACTAAAGACCTTGGAGACAGGGGAGCACCTGTCTCAAAAAAAAAAAAAAAAAAAAAAAAGAAAAGAAATTTCTTTAACTAGTAATTTGTTTAAATTTCATTTTACAAAGTATTGATACACAGGGATAACATTCTAAAAACTCAAACTGGTTCTTCAACACAAGATATTGTAAGTGTAAAGCACATTACTATGTCCCTACTGCTTATAGAAAAGAAATATTGACATAAATATTGTCTGTATGCCAAGTCCACCCACAGCAAGTACACTGTAATGTCTTCCTTGGATTCATTACTACTTAAAATTCTCTCTACTAAGGCTGTTTCTCTCTGGACATGTTTAAAATACAGTGATTACTGTTCCTGAGTATCCAACATAGCTTAAGCCTCAAGAACACCTAAATCCAAATGATGATAAAAGCAAATAGTGAGGGAAAGGTTTGACAGATAAGCAGCTGAGGGAAAACACACTGTAAACTCCCATTTAAATGGAACAAGAACAAACTAAAGTTTTTTCTAAAGGCATGAGGATCAAAGGTGTATGTGAGAAGAGGCTTGTAGAACTGGCAAACTATTTCATTTGGGAATTCTAAGAGCATTTTTTTTTTCTGCGTAGCTTTCATACAATCTAGAATGTTATTTTACTTTTGGTTATCTGTATCATAGAAAGGAAACCTTGATTTATGACACTTTCCTACAGCCTGCTCTGTTGTGCCTAGATTTCCTTCCACAACAATAAAAGCTATTTTGGAAAAATGTGAATCAATTTCAAACTTGGCACAGTAATTTTAACTTCTATTTAAGACACAGAAGAGAAACAAATTGTGTGGATAATCACACATGGGATCCATGATCTGAAATACATCCAAAGCAGTCTCCTGCTCTCTCTCTATTTGTGCTCATCTGTTAGGCTAGCAAGGTGCCAGTTTTTAAGATCTGTCAATTTTACTTTTAAGTTCCAACCATGCTTTGGGTAAGATGAACTATATATAGCTAGGCATGGTGGTGCACGCCTTTAATCCCAGCACTTGGGAGGCAGAGGCAGGGGGATCTCTGTGAGTTCAAGGCCAGCCTGGTCTACCTAATGAGTTCCAGGACAGCTGGGGCTACAGGGAGACCCTGTCTCAAAAAGGCAAAAAAAAAAAAAAAAAAAGAAAAAAAAAAGATGGTTAAATAGTTAGGTCTAAATACTTATACACCATTTTAACAAAGAGGATAAACTACAGAAACATGACTAGACACATTAAAAAGGGTTGGCCTTCTAAATGCTGTAAACTGAGGCCAGATAGGTAGGTGGATGGATTGATGGGTGGGTGGATGGATGGATGGAAAACTAATAGGAGTTAAAGATTGTTTTAGAAAGGTTTGTTTACACAGATTCAAGTCAATGCCACTTCCACCAAGTAAGAATCTTACACCAGCAAAATGGCTCAGTGGGTAAAAGGCACAAGCCTGGGGACCTGAGCTCGATCTCCAGAACCCATATAAAGGTAGGAGAGAATTAGCTCCACAAAATTGTCCTCTGACCACCACATGCACACTGTGACACATGTGTGGTGGCACATGGAACCTCATAAGCATATCATACAAGCATATACAATTTAGAAAGAAAAAGAGAGAGCAAGCAAGCGTAAGAGAGAGCAAAAAGATAGCCAACTATGTTCAGATAGGGTACTACTGTATAATTAAATAGGATTCTGATCACAGATCCTGCAAGTCACACAACTCAGCTTACCTTGAGTGCTAGAAATCTAATCTATACTGACTATATTCAACATAGTATGTCCAGACTTTATTAGGAAAATATTAGGTGAAAGAGAATAGGTCCAGACAACCTCTCTGTTATATCATTAACAGACAAAAAGAACTGAAGATTTTAATCAGTACAGGTCAGAACAAAAGGCCTGCTGAACTTGTTCAAAAACAGTATCTATGTTGCCAAGATACTAGTTTTCTTTCACATATTTCACCAAGGCTGAGCTCTGAATGTATAGGGGGAAAAATCTACATAACTGTCAAATCTCCCAAATCAGAATAATTGAACTAAATTATCAGAACATTAGAAGTAACCACAAAATTAAAGAGAACTGGAGTAGATCTGCTGTCAGAGTTCTGTATGTAGTCTGGGAGGCTGTGTTCTGGTCACTGTAAGCCTATAAAGCTGTTTTGAAAGCAAAGGGTAGCCTGAAAGATGTCAGTGATTAGGACCACACAAAGGGGGAACTGAAAGGAACCAGTAAGAGCAAGCTTAATAGCAGGCGAATGCTTACATGGCTCTATAAACTAAGCACTATTCCAGGTGCTTTACAGAACATAATTCATATAAATGACTAAAATAACTGGGGGCCATGTTTCACAACTGGATTCTCATTGGTTTATAACTTAAAAAAAAATACTGCTTCTGCAGAGTTCCTGGAAAAAATCCTAAATGCTAACCTGAAAATAAATTACATATTAAAGTCCCTAAACATACTATCTCTTATTTCAAGAATTACTTGGGTCTGCAGAGATGACTCAGTGGTTAAGAGCCCTGGCTGCTCTTTCAGAGGACCAGAGTTTGATTCCTAGCACCCACATGGCAGCTAACAACCATCCATAACTACAGTTCCAGGAGATTTGACACCCTCTTCTGACCTTCATGGGCACTATCACAACATGGGTTGCTCTTATATACATGCAAGCAATACATTCATACACATAAAACACATAAAATAAAAATAATAAATAAAATTTTTAAAAAAGAATTTGTTCTTTGAACATTTCCCCTCATTACACTGTAACAGTGGTCTTAAGAACTAAAACTGAAATAACAGTGACAAGACTAGGCAACATTAAACAAAACTCAAAATGATTTGTATGTTGGGCTAAAGCTAGGTATGTGTTCTAATATGCTATGTTCGTTACTTTTAATATTATTAAGAGCATAACCAGTATTCTTAGTACACGATTTGAGAGAAACACCATATGATAGTTACCTGAATTTGAATCTGGAAAAGACAAATAGCAAATATTGGTTTTCTGAAAAAGAAAACAAGAGCTATATATGCTGGCATACACACTCGCACAGCAATAAAAACAGAAATGCAATGACGACTATACACAATAATATTCTTACTTACTTCTTTATCAGTAAGCTTGGAATGCTGAGGATAAATTACCTGGAAGAAAAAGGATTAAATTTTGTTAAACATATACATTAGTGGGGAGTTATAAAATTCTAGTTGGTTGTAGTCAAATCACTATTAAGAAATCACACCAGTGCAGTGGCAGGCACCTACAATCACAGCCACTTGGGAGGCTGGATCAGGAGGATACCTTGGGCCCAGGAGTTCAAGGCCAGCCCAGAAAACATAGTGAGATCCTCAAAAAATTAATTTCCAAGCTGCAAGAACAGAGTAGAACTTATTTTAGGTTAAAAAAAAAAAAAACCCTCAGCTGGGCATGGTGGTGCACACCTTTAATCCCAGCACTCAGGAGGCTGAGGCACGTGGATCTCTGTGTGATTTCAAGGCCAGCCTGGTCTACATAATGAGTTCCAGGTCAGCTGGGGCTACAAGGAGACCCTGTTTCAAAAAAACCAAAAAAAAAAAAAAAAACCCACAAAAACAAAAACTGAATGGAGGCTAGCCCTGGTGGCACATGCCTTTAATCCCAACACTGAGGAAGCAGAAGCAGGCAGATTTCTACAAGTTTGAAGCTAGTCTAGTCTAACATAGCAAGTACCAGGGCAGTCAGTGCTACACAGTGAAACTGTCTCAAAAAAAATAAACAACAAAATCAAAATAAAGTCAAAATTATTTCTAAGATTGGTCAAATCTAAACGTACTCTTTTTTTTTTTTTTGTCTTTTTGAGACAGGGTCTCCCTGTAGCTCCAGCTGTCCTGGAACTCACTAAATAGACCAGGCTGGCCTCAAACTCACAAAGATCTGCCTGCCTCTGCCTCCCAAGGGCTGAGATTAAAAGCGTGTGCCACCACACCTGGCCTTCTTTTTTTTTGTGTGTGTGTGTGAAACTTATAAAATCTAAAGAAAAACTATATCTGAACCATATCTATTCAAGAAATAGTAATTTTCTGCCAGGTATGGTGGCACCCAACTTTAATCTTGGAAGGCAGAAGCAGGCAGATCTCTGTGAGATCAAGGCCAGCCTAGTCTACATAGTGCATTCCAGCCTAGCCAGGGCTACAGAGAGACCCAGTCTCAAAAAACAACAAAAAACAAAACAAAACAACTCAATAATTTTCAATTGATTCCACTAAGTATTATCACTAATTACTTATTTAGAGAAAAAAGACAAGGAGAAAGAATAACCTAGCGTTTACAAAACCTCAAAGACCACTCTCTATCATAAAGCCTGTTCTGATTGCCTACCATTTCTTCATGTCTTTAAATAATCATAATGTCTTTTCCTAGACAGGCTAGTTCAGAACCTGCAGTGACCACAGTACCTTCTGAGGAAAAGCCCAGTCCCTTGGCTCCTGTAATGGAAACAGGTTTAGGCCAGAGAAGCTATTGCCAGAACCAGCAACAGTTAATTCAAGACTCAAAAGCACTCACCCTACACACCAACCCACTGCAATGGGCTATCCTGACCTCCTTAGAGACCGAAACACATTATCAGTGATAAAAAGTGTGCAGGCATAACACTCATACACATAAAAAATAAAAATAATAAATATTTTTTTAAAAAAGTGTTCTCGCTGGGCAAGGTGGTATACTCATAAGCAGGAAGATCATCATGGGTTTGAGTAAGCCTGGGCCACATAATTAAGTTCCTGTACAGCCTGAGCTACAGGACAGCCATCTCAAAACAAACAAAAGGAACTCTTCAGAAAGTAAGTATTCAATCCTTTTTGATTTGTCTCTGCTCTGCTCTGGGTTTTTTGAGCTAGGGTCTCACGTATCTGGGCTGCCTGAGAAGAGGCCCGCAATGTACATGTAGACTCATAATTTAGTCTTCCCTATATACCAAGCACTATGACTCAGAGATCAGAAGGTCAAGGCCAGCCTGGGCTGTAGAGTGAGTTCAGATCAGCCTGGGCAACTTAGTGTGACCTTGTCTCAAATAAAAAGTAAAAAGAGGGCTGAGGATGTAGCTCAGTGGCACAATGTTTGCCTAGGATACACTAAGGACAGTATAAACAATAACAATTTTCTTATGCCCGCTTAGGCTAAGCTTTTGTCACTTTTAATAGAAAGAAATCATGATTAATTTTTTTCTAAGTGACAGAAAGTACCGTTGTACCTTAATTCTCTAGACTCTGAATATTCTTCCTGCCTTTGCACTAGATTGTAGTTACGGAACTTTGACCTTTCCCCCTATTGGCTATTATCCTTCTTGGTCCCTAAATTGAGACACTTGGTAGGGGTTAACTGCAGCCTACTCTTAAAAACTGGCTTTGATTCCCACCTATCTAAATGCAGAACTATTCAATCACCTTTGTTAAAACATGCACTCATCACTGCATCTAATTAAACTAGTTTACTACATCTCACTTAGCCATTCCTAAAGAAATAACTTCCTTAAGGAAAGGGCTCTCCATCATAATCCACTTAGCCCTAATACCAGATGATTTTAGCATTTTCAGCATCATTTCTCCAGGGCCAGGCATGGTGGTACATGCCTGTAACCCTAGCACTGGGGAGGTCAAGGCAAGAGGAAGCAAAGGGAAGGAGTTTGAGGCCAGCATGGGCTACAGGAAACCCTGACTCCAAAAAGCAACAACAGGAGGAAGAGGAATTAGAAGAGGCAGACACGGGGTTGGGGGGGGTGAAGAGGAGGAAACAGGAGGAGGAGGCACAGGAGAAGAGGAAGGAGGAAGAAGAGGACAGAGGGGGAGGGGAATGAGGAGGAGGAAGAGGAGGACATAGGA